CTCAGCCTCCTTCGATTGGTGAAAACCGCAGGTCGCTAGCTGTTGCCGTTCTCGAGATATTTGTCTTACACCCACCCCTATTTAATTCTGGCGCCGACAATAGTCACATTACGGCTACCATCAGAGTTTGTCGGATTGAGCTGAAAATTTTTTGGACGTACCTTAGACTGTATCTCAGAGGTGGTTTTGAGCTTTTTCGAAAATCTCGCTTTCTTTTTTTTATGAGAGAAAGACGTAAAGGTTCGGATCCAAAACCAGAGTTTGGGCGGTCAGGGCTCTATAAATCCGGTTAGAACGATCGAAAACAAAAACGGCCGTTTTTACCTCAAGAGGATACCACAAGTATCTGTGAAAAAACTTCCAGCACAATAGGACAAACTTTGATGAGGTCGTAATGTGACTTGGGATGGCCTTTGAAAAAACAGCATGTTTCAAGAACTCACGTACAGCCGTTGCTAAATTTTTTCCATGAACACGCGTGTCGTTATTTTAGGTGCTCTCTTTATGTTCAAAATTTCAGGCCAATTTGCTGTATCTTCTTCCAGAATTAAACATGATAAAAAACGATGAGGCACTACCTTAACTTTCTTTCTTGAGATGACGGCAATAGCAGCTATCTTGTCTATATGCTTGCTCGTATAGAGTTAGGTTTTGAAAATAAACTCTCTGCCATAGGATTATGTACTACTGAGCTGAATAAAATATTTGTATTTATTTAGTAAAGAACAGTACATTTAGACTGATAGTAAACTTGTTCGTTAAATGAATTGGGCTGCTAATGCACTTTTGCCGTTTTTCCTACGAGTCTCATCAATAACCATTGAAAGTAGGTAACACTATAAATAAATTCATATGTTCGGTGAACCGCGATTGAAAAGAAGTGTTGAAGTATATAGCGAGAAAGTTTGGACTCACCCAGTCTCCATAGGCCATAGCAGACGCGTTAGTTACAGTGTGTTCTACGTCATTGACCGTGACAGACACTTTAGTAAAGGCGTTTCTGTCATCCCAAATCTGACGAGAAACATGAATTACTGGAGAGGGTCTTCTCCTTCTGGTCTTCAGACTCGTCCACTTTGTCACTGCCTACTGGAGTTGGTGGATTGCGCCTGCGATTGCAACTGAAATTCTACCAACAGTGACCATTATTACTCTAAGATCGCTAGATTCAGTCGCAAACTCAAAGTCCTTTTGGGTTTTTTGAAACTCAATAATCTGAATACGTAGAAGTTTATACTCTACTTTCTTCTTGCATGTGGTTTTTTAGCTCTGCCAAGGTGAACAGCCCCATGTTGTTTTACACTTTAATTTCGTAAAGATAGCGGTAACAGCTTTTTTTCTAGTGTCTGATTGTCATCTTCATATGGCTCTGAATCGATAAGATAAAAACTCAGAGATAGTTCGCTCCAAATTTTCAGTTTTGGCTTCATCATTGACTCTGAGAAAACTTTTATCTTAGTCTGTAGTTCTGTGTGTTCTCTTCAATCTCCCGAATCAATTTCCAATCAAAGTTAGCAATCACATGGCCACATGAATATCTACTATTTGAATGGTTCAAAGTGCATTTTATCTTGAAACTCTCATCTGGGATCGTACATTCTAAAAAACACCTTTATTCGAGGAAACCAAAAGGAGGGTTTCTGGAAATTTTTATGCCAAAAGGGTTTCCCAGTCGATCTCAGAAACTTTTAGCGAATTTTCAAGTTGCATAAAGATTTCCGAAACTTTGGAAACCCTTCGAGGTTTTCCGATAGTAATATTCCCGGAAGCCTTTAAAGCTTTTCGATTTTCGGGAACCGTTCACTTTTTTCGGAAATCCATCAAGGTTTCCGAGAATATCACTATCGAAAAACCTCGAAGGTTTTCCGAAGTCTCGGAAACCTTTATGAGAGTTGAAAAATCCTTAAAGGTTTCCGAGATCGGCTCGGAAAACGTTTTCTGGGTTTCCTTGGACACGGATAACTTTTAGAGTGTACAATCCTCAGAAGAAAGAGATCCTCGCATATATATTGGGCTGAGCTGGCAGAAAAAAAATAATTGAATGAGATTAGGTAATATTATTGGTATACTCTATTGAGATCCACCCCAGAACAAACCGAAGCAGTGGAATGTAAATAGTAAACAGAATACTTCCGATGATAGTCTGAATATGAGTATGGTTACTGTAGACATTTTCTACCAGTCGATAGGGCTTCCTTGATGAGGTACGAAATGGCAGCTGATCGGAAAAAACTATGCTCATAGAATTCGAATTAGCAGGAAACACAGTTATTGTACATTTAAGAACTTTGCTACAGTAACAAAAAACTCTTAAAAGAAGCGAAAAATCGGATTCGCTTCTTTCAAAACTGAATAGCGATCAACGGCTCTCATTCTACATCAACCGAGAAAATTGGCCAGCTCTGAGACTGACCCCACCAGTGTCTGAAGATATTTGAGCTCTGAGTATCATTATAGACCACATGCTATATTCATTCGTACACTGACAACTTAAAGGACAAACAAAAACGTTTTTCTCTTTTTTTTTTCATAAATGAACTCCACATCAGTAACTTTCTTCAGAAACAAATTTCTATATCGACCTGGTCACCATGGACTGGTAAGAGATGCAAAGTTTGTTATGAATAAATTTTCCGAATAACTAATCTGTTAGTTCTCGCGTCCTCTTCCAATGGATGCTAGGTATACTTGTTCGCGAGGAGCATTGATATAAACCATAAGCTTCATGTGGGTTCCCATATGAGAAGTAGTGCGCTGTACGGTTCCGACTGATTGTAAGCACAAACCTATAACACATTTCCCACCAACCACAACCGAACGCAGCAATTACAACTACAGCTGAATCGAATCTTGTTGCTATCTGCAGTAGGTGTCGATTAATCTTGGTTTCCAGGCTTTGGTAAATCGTTGTGAAAAAATAAAATAATTGATGCAAATAAGACAAAACCTAATGAAATTGCTCATTAGAGACATGGAACAAATATAGCAACTTTTAAATTAAAGCATGGGATATCTACATGACAATCGCTGTTATCGATTTAATGGAGCGATCAGGATAAGTCCAAAAGTAGCGTGTGACAGTAATATCGGTAGGTAGATATGTGGAATCTTTAGTCATTCTAAACTATATACACAAACGGAGAAAACTAGTCTTATTCTTGAGAAAAGAGACTCTCATAGTGGATTACGACAATTAGATGCGTTCACGTTGTTTTTCCTCACCTCTTTCCAGTCCTCAAAAAAAAAATGTGCCGATAATGAAAGAAATATTTTCGAAATGACGATAACAGTATTTCAGTCGACTTTGATTGTTTATACCAAGTGCTTTTATCATCATTTCTATTAGGCATTTCGTACGGCGTTGCCAAAATTGAATACTGTAATTCAACGTCAGCTCAACGACGCAAATACGAAATACCAAAACGCTCTGGAGGCATATAAATTGCAAGATCCAAACGATATTCGAGAAAATTATCTCAAATATCTCGAAGATTTTCAAGAAACTATGCGCCGCTATTCTGCATATCGGGAAGAGGCTTTCAACGACTTCCCGGAGGCGTTATGTGGGAAAACGTACTTTGAAATAGAAGATTACTGCAAACGTTCATGGCCTCGATATCAACCGCTTGTATGGCGTGCCTACCGTAGCGCTGATGAACTTGCTCGATCGGACGATGGTAAAGGTCTTGAACTTAAGTTGAAGGGTGTTGGAGTATACCATTTTGCTCGGCTCAATCGAATATTTGACTACATGGTTCTTACGCATAAGCCGGATGATATAACAACAGATGGAATAGTATCTTCTACTGGCGTCCTTTATGGAGGCGTAAGTGACTATGACTATTTGGATAAGGCTGTACGTGACTGGGTGCGCCATCTTATACTTAACATGTTTGTCGTTGGAATCGCTTGGCTCACACAAATGTATATTTATATGCTCGACACATTCAGACAAAATGTAAAGCTTTATCTACTTGCGCCAGGTAAGTATAACCACCTTGTCCACCACATCATCTTTCTCAACGCTGTTGATCGCGACTTCCATAAAACGACTCGAACATGGATCCGTAAAGCTGTACAAACAATTCGTGATACGTGTGATTCATACAGTGCCTATGCTCATTACGATATCACTGCACGTCTCAAGAAACAGACTTTTGCCATCCCAACACACATCAAACACAAGCTTTTTGATCAGAAAGTACTTGATTTACTAGATGGAACTGACCAATACGACGCTGACGAGCACAATTCATCAGTAACAATTGCTGAGATCTTTGAGCGCATTCCAAAGCAAAAGTTACTCGATCGCATCTTTGGCTCTGAGTCGTTTTTGACACAGGACCGTGATCCTCAAACGCTAAACCACCACGAAAACGGTCGCTCTGCAATTCATGAGCTCTACCAAGCAATTTGCGGTCAAATTATCAATGTCACTTTCTCACAATTCTACAGTAATGTTGTCATACGCATTCAAGAGTTTGGTTCGCCAAAATTGTTTGGTGCGCCCACAGGCGCTCATTCCCTCCATACACGGCTTAACCGAATGGCGTTGACACAAATCTCTAATATCGCCAATATCAATACTGAAGCAATCCGTCAAGAAATCGAGGCTTGTGAAAAACAAATCGGTGATTTGACGATTGCTCATAAACTTCTTGATAATGCAATTCGTGTCATGTCTTCATCGTCACCGGCTTCCATCAGAAGTGATCAACAGCGGCAGCAAGAATACGCTAATGCCGTAGAGGCTGGGAAAGCAACAGTGGAAAATCTGCAACGACGGCGTGGTCTCTTTAACCAACAGCATCGGCCCGAACGAGGTCGTTTAGAACGATTTTCGTCAGCCACAAGTGTTGATCATACAAATTCGAGCGAACGATACTACAAAGATGAGTCTGACGAAGAAGAGCAAGAGCTAATGAATGAAACAGCCGACACACGGGCCAAAATTCTCATGTTTCATATGTATCAGCGGCATGACAGACAAGATCTTCAGCTTGGGCTCCCATCGAAAGACAGTCTTAGTCAAGATGAATTAAAGCCAAGATCTTTGGCACACATTTATGTCGATCCAGATACATTGGACTACGACAAAGCGATACAAACAATTCTTGATATGGACGGAATATCTTAAGAAGCCGACCAAACAGACGTTATATAAAAGTAATCACAAAACTGAATGCTAGAAGCTAAGACATGCGATGCTTTTCATAGTGAACATCAACTTTGTATTTTGTTTGCTCCTATTTCATCATATGTATCGATTTGAGAAATGATTCTATTGAGGTCTTGACACATTACCATCTTTCTATTGTGATTCAATATATCGTGATCTATAGAAGTGTTCAGTCTTAAACGAAAGATTTTAAAGAAAATTCTATTTTTCAAACAATTTATCAAAGTCATTGTGAATATTCGATACTCATTAGACATAAAACCGAAAAATGATAACTCAACAATTTCTCCTCTTTTCGATTTACAGAGGACGGGAGTGGATATCCTAGCAAAATAGGCCCTATTAGAATAGTATTTCAGAAAACACTTAAAACTAAGAAAAAAGTTTTCCTCTTTCAACGCTACAACATTCTCAATGCATAAAAACAATTTTCCTTAACAATTCTTAGTGCACTGCTTGACAAAAGCAAACAAACCACTGACAGGAGATTTATACCTGTGTTCGCAGCATCGAATGTCCATCATAGTACGTTTCACTCACACATTGTACAAATGAAAAACCGCCATTCTTCAGGGTAGACGCAACTTTTGAAGGGCTAGAAAATGATGCCAAAATATGCAAAGAAATATGCTGCAATCAGAATTTTCCAAAGACCACACTGCCACAACCCTATGGAAAAGGCGGTCCATTTTAGAGAGTGGTCCCTGGAATCTCATGTATTGGAGATGACCCCGCGCCCATTTTTTCAGGGTAGACATAATTTTTTGGATTGCTAGAAAATGATACGAAAATATACATAGAAATATGCTGCGATCAGAAATTACCAAAGACCACACTGCCACAACCCTACGGAAAATGGGGTCCATTTTAGAGGATGGTCCCTGGAATCTCAATTATTAAAGATGACCCCGCGTCGATTTTTTTCAGGGCGGACGCAACTTCTGAAGGGCTAGAAAATGATGCCAAACTATACAAAGAAACATGCTGCGATCAGAATTTTCCAAAGACTACACTGCCACAACCCTATGGAAAACCGGGTCCATTTTAGAGAGTGGTCCCTGGAATCTCAGGTACTGAAGATGACCCCGCTAGCATTTTTGCACGGTATAGGGATGCAACGGTGATGATTATTCACCGATTAACCGTCACCATTTCACCGGTCCAAACCGATACCCGTAGGTACGGTTACCGGTCCAAGTACAACAACCGTACCTACGGTTACCTGTCCAAGTGCGATAATCGTAGGGACAGTTATCGGTTCAAACCCGTTGTCAGGAAAAACAGCATTTTTTAAGAAAATAACGATACTTTATAAAGGTTGACGAAAGTAAATCGGGGTCGAATAATCCGAATCTCAAGCCAGTTTTTGAAAATTTCCAATTGAATCTTTTCGACAAAGGAAACGGTTTTGTAGAAAAATAATGATATTTTATAAAGATTGACGAAAGTAAATCGGGTCGAGGAATCCAAATCTGAAATCAGATCCTTGAACTTTTCAATTTTCTCTTCCCAAGAGGGTGTGGGTGTGGGTGTGGGTGTGTATAGTTACCATGATAACCTAATATAGATTATTTCTGATGTATCTAACTCAAAACTTATCAAGTGGTCCAAGTACTAGTATAAAAGATCCAAAGAATATAAAAATTTTTCAATAAAATAGGAGAGAAGATTTTAAATTCAGAGCACCACACGACTAGTTTCGTGTTTATAGAAAAGACTTTAAAGAAAGTCAAATCAATAGGTAGCAAGACACGTGTTTCGATTACCGCTAAGATAATCATTTATCAATTGCTGAAGATTAAAAGAAAATTCTCCTACTGCGAATGACAATAGTTAAAAGATTTTTGAGAAAAACTCCTAAGCTGATAGTACTCACAATAATGTATATTATCTGGTGACTGCAA